CTACCTACATGACCGTATTGGGTGCTGTACAAAGAACTGTACAATATGATACATTATTACCCACATGAAGCTTATAATCATGTTAGAAAGGAAAATATATTCATGTAAGAAAAATGCAAAACCAGTTAGTATTCTGCAAATTAGTCCATATTTCTCATGTTCTTATTCTTTTTCAAAATTCTTAAGAAGCAACATATGACTTCTAGAAAAGGTGATAATGTAAACAATGTTTAAGATTTGGCAGAAACAATAGGCCTAAATAAATATTTAATCTGAAAAGCTCAAGCAATTGTTAAAAACACATTTTATACGCAAAACAAACAATGGAAATTGTATGTATTAAAATCCAGTTGATTAGAAAAGCAACAGAAGAAACCGAACAAAAGAAAGTTCAATATAATAGTTATGGGGGAAAGCAGCTTTGGTGCAAAAACAGGTGCCCAGAACCACGAGGGTTTCAATCAGAACGATTCCTTTCTCTCTGGACCCTGCAGACTATGGAAACCTCATGGTTGCAGACTTAATCATTTCTTCACATAACATGGAAGTCCAAGCCAGCTTGAAATTCCAGCTAAAGCATAGGTCCTTAGGTATCAAATGGGGGTTCACATAAAGAAGTCTTTTCGCACTTAAGGAGAGACTGAACTACTATGCAACCAGAAAGGCTAATGGGCCAAAAGTGCCCCCAGAGTACACCATTCACTATGTGTGCAGTAATTCCTGTAGTAACGTAGTAACAAGGATGGATGTCTGCCTCACAGATTACTCATCCAGAAAGCCTATTTTTAAAAAACGGAAATAAAAAACAGCAGATCAAAAAAGTACTATAAAGCATATTTCCTTATAAAAATCTTATTATAAGTAAAAAGAGATGCCTTTTTATTTTGTTTTTCTTTTTTTTTTTTTTTATTTGCGGTATGCGGGCCTCTCACTGTTGTGGCCTCTCCCGTTGCGGAGCACAGGCTCCGGACGTGCAGGCTCAGTGGCCATGGCTCACGGGCCCAGCCGCTCCGCGGCATGTGGGATCTTCCCGGACCGGGGCACGAACCCGTGTCGCCTGCTCTCAACCACTGCGCCACCAGGGAAGCCCCAAGAGATGCCTTTTTTATTAGCAAGGTCACTGTCACCTTCAGGAAACAATCACATTTGGGAGTTGAGTGTAGAACACCTTGTGTTTGGGGCAGACAGGGGAAAATGTAGGGCAGGTAATTATCAAGTGTGAAGCATTTACCTCCTGTCAGAATACCAGAGATGCTGGAAAATGCTTGCTTATTAAATAAACAAATAAAATGAAGATGAGGGCTTGATATAACTCAATTTAGGAAACACTACAGAAAAACATAAAGATCAACAAAAATATTATTGCCATTAAAGAACAAATGATTTAAAGCTAAGAAATTTGTTTTGGACTTCAATCCATGAGCAATGGAGAGTCCATTAGCCTTTCTTATGGGTACAGGAAGGCTGAGAAATGAGGCCAATTGGAGAACATGAATAAAACTCGTTTCAGAAAGATTTATGTGTCAATGTTTCATAACTCAAATCAAAGGAATAAAAATCCAGAACCCAGTAAGCCAATTAAGAAACTACTACAACAACCCAGATAGGACGTTAATAGGGGGTACAAATATATATTTAAAAAAAAAAAACAGAAGTTTTGTGCGCAGGGAAAGAAACTCTTCTTTTTTAAGATATGTAATAGTTCTGTTTTAGTAACACTGAGTTTGAGGTACAGGAGGGACCCCATATGAAGATATAATTTATACTGAGAAATCGAAATTTGGGGTCTGTAACTCAGGATAGCAGGGATGGCTGGAGGTAGATTTGTGTCATCTACACAGAGGTGGTGAGCCGTAAAGAGGAAGTCTCCTCAGAAGAAGACAAACAGGAACAGGGGCTCCAGACTGATACCTGCATTAGGGGAATGGAGGAAGGAGGAGAGTTTAAAAAGAAGGAAAAGAACAGCCTGATAAATAGGAATGGAAGCAGGACAGATGCCAACGGAGGAGGAAATTCCAGCCGTTGTGGAAAGAGGCAGAGAGGGCAAAGAGAATGAGATCTGCCAAAAATCTATGAAGGTAGTGGTGAAAGCAGGAGCACAAGGTGCTAAATAATAATGATTGTGAAGAATGGAAGAGTAAATTAGTAGAGAAGCTGAATAGTGAAAACCACAAGAAACTTAGGAGATCAACATCTAAAATCCAGATGAGCCATATAGGTGGCTGCCAAATTAACCTGCTTAAAATGCAACTTTGCACACCATTTTCCATGATCAAAGAAAAGCAAACCATAACTCTTCACCACTCATAGGATTCAGTCTGTATCTCCTTATCCCAGCATCCAAGACCCTTCACAATTGGATCTCATCTGTTTCTTCTCTTCCACACTCACATATCTTCTGCTCCAATCAGACTGGTCACGGTTGCCAGCTTCACTGACACAATTGTGGTCTCAGCACCATTGCCATTCAACTTCTCTTACTCCTCGTTCTCTTTCTTAAGCCTAATATTTAATAACTCTCCTCCATATAATGTTTGCCCAGGAAGCCATTTTTTCTTGCACTGGCTCTGGGAAGACCACTTATAGTATCTTTTATGTGGTACCTAATATTACTAGGGAAGGAGTGCTGATAGTACTAACATCTGTCTGCTCTCCTTGTCCCGTAATTCACCTATCCCCAATCAATTCATTTATCGAGTGTTGGCTTCTATACCCAGACTTCAGAATTTTGCTGAATAAAGTTGCATAATTTGTTCATTTTACTATCTTCTACCAAGGCAATGCACTCATATCAGGCCTTTGTACATTTCCCTTAACTCAGCCCCATTCTTTCCAACTTCTTTAAATTATTAACAGGTTCTTCAATGCCACCCTTCCCTCCTTCATCCCCCTCCCCAGCTTTTTGGCTTAATCAATCAGCACAAATGAGTTCCTTGGGTGGGAATTCCCTCAACTTTCCCTCCTGCCCCCAGGTATAAACCTGTCCATATCTATCCCTGTCCTTAAGGCTTTTCCTAGAGGAAGAACTTTCTTTTCTCCTTATAACTTCTATGTTCCGGGTCTTAGGTTCTCCCACCTTTACCAATTATCCTTTCTTGACCAACTCTCCATCCTTCTGAAACTTTCTCTATTCCACTGAAAGCAAGTTTCTTAGAAGAATAATCTTTACTCTCTCTCTTTACTTTCTCTCCTTCACGCAGTCCTCAATTCATTGTAATCTGGCTTCTATCCCACCATCCTTTGTATCCCTTCTCATCAGGGTCACCAGCCACCTTATAATAATCAAATCCAGCAACCATGTTGATGTCTCTGTGACATTTTGTAACAGGTGACCACATCTTCACTCCTCTGTGAAAGGCCCCTGTAATGCTACAGCATGACTTTTTCTTGCATCCTCTCCTATCTCTAGTGTTACTCTTTCATTTGTGCTTTTTCTTAGCCTCCTTTTTGGGCTATCCCATCCATGCCAATCCCTTAACTCAGTGGTCTTCAATCTTGGCTGACCATTAGAATCACCTAGACAGTATTTAAAAAATACTAATGCATGAGACACACCTTCAGGGATTCTAGTTCAATGAGACTGGGAGGGAACCCAGGCAGCATTCTTTTTCAAGCTCCCCAAATGATGCTAGTGTGTATCTGTGGTTAAAAACCACTGCCTTAACTCATGCTTCCCAACTTTGTCTCTTCAGAGGAATCACCTGGGGCAATTGTGAAACATAAATGTACCTAGATCCTGCATCCCTGAAATTCTAGTTGAATAGGCCAAAACTCAGAATGCGGAAAGTAACCAGAGGCTCTCCCTTCCACTCACACCTATTGGGCAACACTTATAGCTATAATTTTGGGGGGCATTTGCTATGTGTTCGATAACTCACACTTATTTTCAAGCTTAGGGCTTTCTCACAGAGCACTTTCCATACATAAGTTACTCATTTGTGTCTCCTTTACTGTTTTTTTTTTTTTCTTTTTGGCCACTTTGCGTGGCTTGCAGGATTTTTCTGCGAGCAGGGATCGAACCCCAGCAGTGGAAGCACAGAGTCCTAACCACTGGACCACCAGGGAGTTCCCCCTGTGTCTCCTTTACTTGACTGTGAGTTCCTGCAGGACAGAGATTCTGTTTTACTTTTATATGAATTTTATATGAACTAGCAAGTTTTCCAGTACATATTAGCAAATAAATATTTTTGTAAAATAATGAATGAACAATTAAATTATTTTCATATACATAATCTGTTCCTAACACAAAATATAGATGGTATTCTAAGCCTTTTTGTATTCTTGTCACTTATACACATTTGGCCAGCGTTCATGACGATGCATGAAAACTTTCTGCAATTGGTATTTTTACCTATAAAATCCTTCTGTATTATTATGTGATTCTTTTTTGTTGTTGTTATTTTTATTTTTTTTTTCCCAGTTTCTTCTCTCTTGCTACTGATTCCCACTTGGCCAAATGACTTACACATGTTACAGTGTATTTTTGGAATCCCCTTGTGGGAGGTATAAAGCACATGAATTATGGAGTCAAACAGACTTGGACTTCTGTCTCTTCTCTTCTCATTTGCATAATGGGGATAAGACATACTTGTGATTATTAAAAATAAGAGAAGCTCTGGCCAGAAATGTTATATTTTTTCTTGGAGTGTCAGCTCTTATGAGAAAAACCATGCAACTTATATAAAACCAAGGGATAGTCTTTCTTTAGCTTTCTCATTGGCTCCACCTCCCATTACATGTGACTATATTTCACTAATCCTTATGTGTTTCACCACAGTCTCAGAAAATGTTGGGTCTCCTCCAATTCACACCTAACAAGCCCACATGTGTCTTTAATCACATTGGCCCCTTCTAGAATGTGCTACATCCTTTTTCTGCCTGGAAATCTCTGATTGGTCCCTTGAAACCCTCCTGATGCAGAGTTAGTCATTTCTTCCTGTGTATTACCTCTATCTGGACACAGGCTTTTTCATATTTGCACTTGTCGTAATGGACTGTAATTTTGGTTTACAAAGTCCATCTAGTAGATTTTGAACTCCTCTAGGGCAAAGATCAAGTTTTAGTAATCTTTTTTATCCCAGGGTTGAGTGTGGTGCTGGAGTATGAACATGATATTTGTGGAGCTGAATTGCTCCTGGAACCAGACTTTTACTCCACATTTACCCTCGAATCTTCCAAAACTCCAGATCCTCACCATCATTCAACTTTAACTTTGGAGTCAGAGAGCTGTAAGTTCAAACCCTTACCGACCCTTGTTCTGGTTTTGTTTTTTTTTGAACTTGTTTTTTTGTCGTCGTGGTTGTTTTGTTTAACCGTGAAATGGAGATTATTAGACCTACTGACAGTGTTGCTTATAAAATTAAATTAAATAATAGATATAAATAGCTTAACACAATAAATGCCCAAAACATGTATTTAGTAATTGCTGATAATGTGGTGGTTATCATAATGTGGTGCAGTTTTGGTTTTGTTTTTGGTGGTTTTTTGGACCATTCACTACAGGGTTCTATCAGTAAATTTTTGTACTGAAAATGCAGCTCTCTGTTAAGTAGTCAGGCATGCTGAGTAAATTTAAAACTTTCTTGTTTGGCATTTCTATCACAAACTGTTAAATCCCTCTTCTCACCTTTCATGCTTCCTTGGATATTTCCTGAAATGATGAGAGAGTTGTGTAATCCTTTCTGTAGATAACAAAGTCAAGTTTGGGGACTAATCACATCATGCCCTACATTCCTGTTTACTTTAGTCACTCCAGGAACCACGAGTCCTCTTTCATTACTTGACCTCTCATCCCCATATCAATTTTAATATCCCCTAATCTGGAGCAGTCTTTCACTCCTTCCTTCTCCCTTAAATCCTTCCAATGTACTCTCTGGAATTCCTGATACTTCATCAACTTAATCCCCGGGAATCTCAAATTCTTCTTTAAATGTTTCCTTCACTTTCCTGCTCTAACAAAAACTTCTTTGCCCTGTGGATACTGCATACCCTGTAGCCTCCAAAAAGGTGATTTTTTTTTTTCCTCTTATTTCCCGTAAATCTTGAGGGTGGAGTAGATATTCTCCTTTGTTTCTTCTTGGTAGTTCCAAACCAGTACTACCTCCTTCCTTTAAAAAAAAAAATCCCTGCTCCTTTGTAGTTCATGCCATATGGCAACCTCCTATCACAGGCCCCCTCCCTTGTTCCAGTCATGTACAGACACTAAGATCAGCCCTTCTCATTCAATGAAAATTTAGCAAGTAGCTCACTGACTCTCCACCACTTCTTCAATCATCCTTGGCAATTTTGACACCTTTGTAACTCACATTGCAGAGAATCCTTCAATATTCTGGTTCTCAGTGTCTTGACCTCCTCATGTCCAATGGTCTTGCCCTCATTTCCCGCTACCACCTGCTTCCAGGTCATATCCTAGATCCTGTTGTCGTCACCAACTGCAGATCTCAACAACCTCCATTTGAAATACCCCACTTTGTGATTACTTCTTTCTCTTTATTTTCAGTTAATCCCTTTCATACACCATTCAAAGATTCTGCACTTTCATGGGAAGATGGATTCTCTCAGCTTTTGCTGGTCTTTCATCCTTTTCACATCCTCACGCCCCTCCTTACTCAGTATAAAAGGATCACTCCTCACACAATCCCTTAAAAACATTGCTCCCTCTCTTCCTTCATTGTATAGTAGCCTGACAAAACGCCGCCGTGGTTGAATCCCAACTTTTGTGTGTTCTGTGCTTGACTCTGAGAAGCTGGACATGACTTGACATATGAAAACATATGGCTGTGTCGACCTGTCTGACTTACAATGTATGATCACTACTTACAGTGGGCCCATGATGTTCTTAGCAATCCTATTACATGTCTCAATTCAATTTACCTCCCCAGTCTCCAAAATGACTATTCCATCACTCACGCTTTCTTGTCAGAATCTCTAACACACTCTCTGTCTTCTTTAATTTCCTACTTCATATTTTACTGCTGAAGTAGAGCAATCAGAAAAGAATATCCACATATTCCTACCCCCAGTGTATACTTCACTATATCTCTACCAGGTACTTTGCTTTCCTTCCTGTTGCCATGGATGTACTCATACCTAAAGTCAACCCATCACCTCACACTGGTTAGGAATAGCTATAATAAAAAAGATAAGAAATAACAAGTGTTGGAGAGGACGTGGAACAGTCATACAGTTGGTGGAAATGTAAATTTACATTTACATTGGTACAAATGGTACAGCCGTTATGGAAAACAGTATGGAGGTTCCTCAAAATAGTAAAACTAGAACTACCATATGATCCAGCAATCCCACTGCTGGGTATATATCCAAAGAAAATGAAATGTGTTGTCTCAAAGAGATATCTACATTCCCATGTTCATGCTGTATTATTCACAATAGCCAAGATATGGCACTACGTGTCTGTCCACAGATAAATGGATAAAGGCAATATAATTTTACATGCACACACACATACACACGCACACACACATACACACACACACACACACAGAGGAATGTTATTCAACCCTAAAATGGAAGGAAATCTCACCATTTGTGACAACATGGATGAACCTAGAGGACATCATGTTAAGCGAAATAAGTCAGGCACAGAAAGAAAAATACTGAAAGATCTCACTTATATGTAGAATCTAAAATAGTTGAACTCATAGAAGCACAGAGTAGAATGGTAGTTGCCAGGAGTTGAGGAAAATGGGAGGATGCTGGACAAAGAGTCCTAAGTTTCGGTTATGCAAACTGAGTAAATTCTGGAGATTTAATATACAGTATGGTGACTATAGTTAACAATGCTGTACTGTATATATGAAATTTGCTAAGGGGGTAGATTTTAGTGTTCTCACCAACACACACACACACACAAAACTGTAGCTATATGAGATGGTAGATATGTTAACTAGCTTGATTCCTAGTGATCATTTCACAATGTACACTATAACAAAACATCAAGTTGTAGACCTTAATACATACAATTTCTGTTTATCAATTATAACCCAATAAAACTGAAAATAGAGTCAACTCTTCCATACAAACTTTCCAGGGTCTATCCCCTGGAACTCATTCCCACTCACCTTACTCAAGGGCTTTGTTTCTATAACTGTCCCCAACGTCTCCTGAACCATTACTTATGCCTTATCTACTAGGATAATCAATACACAAGCATGCCATAAACTCCCACCTTAAAGCAAACAGATCAAAGCAAACTTTCTTTGATTTTACAACCCTATTTCACATTCCCATCCTCTATTTCTCCTTTCACTTTTTCTTTTCTGCCCTCTTTTACACAAAACTGATAGAATTTTTGTCCATACTAATGTCTCCACTTCCTTCACTCTTCTGAAAGCACTCCAATCAGTCTTTTGACCCCCAGCTCCATGGAAACTGCTCTTGTCAACATTGTCTCCACATTGCCTAATCCAATGAACAAACTTACTTGCCCTCATAGCAGCATTTAACATAGATGACCACCACCTCCTTCTTGAAACATTTTGTATTCTCAGCTTCCAAAATATCTATTCCCATCTCAATATCCTCCCAACTTTTGGATTTTTCCTGTTAATGTATTCTCAGCACAGCAGCCAAACTGATTTAGTTAAAACACAGATGAAATTATTTCAGTGTTCTGCTCAACAAAACTCCATGGCCTCCTATATCCCTCAGGGAAAAAGAAAAGCCCTTCCAGTGGTTTCTAAAGCTCTACCTTGACATGATTATTGCCAACTGAGTCACACTTCCCTCTTTGGTCACTCTGGTCCAGCCATATAGACTACCTGTTCTCCTGAATATGCCAGGCACACTCTTGCCTCAGGGGCTTTGTACTTGCTGGTCTCTCTGCCTGAAAAGGCACTCTTCTGAATATCAGAGTGGCTGGCCCCCTGCTTCATTCAATTCTCTTTCCAAATGTCACCTTGTCAGGCGAGGACTTCTTAAAAATAGCTACACCCTTTCCCTCCTTGGTAGTTACTATCTAATCCATTAACCTGCTTTTTCTTTCTTCATAGTTCTTAATACCACCTGATACATAGCATATTATTTATTTATTTGTTGTTTCTCTTCTCCGCATTAAACTAAAACTCCCTGAGAACAAAAACAGTATTTGTTTTTTCTTTTCACTGCTATATCACCAGCAGCTAGTGGTTTTACTGCACAATAAATATTTGTTGAATGACTAAATAAAACCTTTCTTTTCAGTGTCTGCATTCCTGTGATCAGCATCTGCATGTGCTTTCCTAAAATCATTAAACATCTTTATCCACAACTTAAACCAAATCCCTAACATAGGAAACTGAGAATTTAGACAAAGAGGTTGGCCGTAATCCTCTGTTAAGTGTCTTTCCTCTGTCCTAGCTCTAAATTTATTGACTCACTCTTAAAACTCTCTCCATTTCCCACAAAATACAAGGTGGTTGAAATCAATAAAAATAAGAATGCTTAGAGCAGGAAAGAAGAAAAAAGAGATAATAAAAGGAGAAAACATTTTAAAGGAACTCATAAACATCTTAGAACTGTATTTGGGAAACAAAGGTCACGCAGAAGAATTTGGAAGAAAACACCCCCACGGAGTGTGTCTTCTCTTCCTCCCCTATCTCTGTAGTAGATACTAATGTAATTCTTGCTTAGGCTGGACTGTGCTCTGTCATGCAGAAAAAAGAAGAAGCCTTTTGGCCTCAGCTTCTAGTTATCTGAGCCCAGATGAAGACAAATGGGATAGGCCCAAAGCAAAACTGTCAAGTGGAAAAACTTGGCTGGTATCTAGAAATTCCCTTTTCTCTGCTCCCTCCCAACTTGTATATACATTATACCTTATCCCTTATCCCTTATACCTTATCCCCCCTTCATCTTCAGTGCTCAGTACCCTCCAGCTTCTAAAATCTTCCCTCTATCAAAAAATAAAAAGGACATCTTACAATATTTACATTTGTAACCTGCTTGTAATTTCACTTTTAATTGCATATAAATTGTAAAGACAATGCAGATTTTGAATTTTCCTAATAACTAATCTGATATTCCACTGAATGGTAAGGAGAGATATTAGACTTATCTAGTCCGGGAAGCTCAGGCCAACCCACACTAGCTTCAATATTAGTATTTTCATGAAAAATTCTTAGCGTCTCTAGGTAAAATTCCCAGTCTCATGTTTCCCATCTCTTGACATTTAGATGTGTGTGACCCCATGGCAGAAGGGGAGATGGGCTGCCCCATATTTTCTGAGTCTGGA